AGAATGATTAATTAATGATTGTATTAGGCTTAGGCTGTAAAAACTGTTTTGCGTTCTAAAATACAAACTTACAGCCATGATTGGAAAGGAGAGGTGAAGATGCAGGATCTTAACAGCAGCAACAAAATTAATATCATTGTTTGTAAGATACTTGGAAATCTCAGTTTAATGACTGATTTGCTTCCGTTAGTTCTTTCGATTAAGCAATTAAGCGGCTGAATCTTCACGGATTATAGGGTTATTACAGCTGCGTATCACGGCATATGTTCCCCAAAAGAGCCTAGTGAATATTAATGGAACAAAGGTATTGGTCTAATGTTAGTCAAATGCCTTAAAAGGCCTCTTATAGGGAAACCGTTTTTTTTTTTTTTTTTTTTTTTTTTTTCAGTTCCATCCTAATTTTTTTCGATAATATCCAGGGCAATTATCTTGCAGTTCTTTAAGAAACTCTCGAAAGAATTTTTTCGTCGAGTTCAAGGGCTTACAATCTACATATTGATGTAAAAAAATCAACACTCAATATCTTTAAAGCCTCTTTCCTGGAAGTATAACTTCTACCGTCAGGTATTAAAACAGAGTAATATAACATTCATAAAACTTTGAAATTTATCTTGGAATGTGTTCGAAAACTTTAAGAAACTCAAAATTTCTCTATTGAGTTTATAAGGTATTTTCCCCGCCCTCTTAGCGAACCTTCGTGGTGTAGTGGTCTGCACGCTCAGTGTGTAATTGAGAGTTCCGCGGTTCAATTCCCGCCTAAAGCGGTTGCTAATTTTTCATCTTGCCTGCTTCCAAAAACTCCTAATGTCTCTACAAGTTGAACTATATGATTTCTGTCTAACAACTCTTTAAAGACAGTCACATTTCTTTTTTACATTATATTTTAGTGTAACATTTCTTTCTTCGAAACCACCCCTCGCAATCTTGTCGGTCATCGAAAAAGCATGCTGAAAATTGAAGATGTCGGGGATACATCCATACTGTGACATCTTAACGAAAAACATGGCGCCAACGTTGAAGAAAGTTTATTAAAAGAAACGCCACACTGATATTAAAGCCCATACCAGCTCTCTACAGAGATAATAAAAACTGGAGCACTGAAAGACTTTATCTAACTGTAATGAAAAAAAAAAGATCGCTTGTTTGATGATAGGATAATCGAGAAGGTGAAGAAAACGTTAGAGATTGAAAATTAGTGACGCTGAAATATACGATTCTGAATGTTTCCCCCTAGTTAATCAATAGGAAACTAGTTAGAGACACAGAAATTGCCCTAATAGTTCTTACAAAAGATAATGTCGAATTAAATTATCATTACATGTCTAATTACATTATCATAAACTATAAGAGGATTTTAAGTGCTTTTTTTATAATATGTGAGTAGTTTATTTAAGGTATCACAGATATAGTATTCATAAATGAGCTCATGTTAGATGACATAGTTTATAGACCTTCAAGTGCATATTTCTCGGAAAAAAGCAGTTGTTTAAAGAAATTGTATACTTAAAATTTCAGAAATAATAATAGTGAGAAATGGAAAAATTTCAGGTGCTAAAGGTTACTTTAACTGTTGCATAAAATAATCATTTTAGTTTCATTAAAAAAGTGGGAAATATTTGTTAGGCAACTTAACGAAAATTTTATTTTGATCCAGTTCATTAATTCGAAATCCTGCGTTTTCATTTTAAACTAATTACAGGGAAACAATTCAAACATGCAGTATGTTTTACTGAATATAACATTTAAAGCAAGTGAAAATGGTTTTGATTTTGGTGTCACAAACGAAATAAAATGTTTATATTACTGGCACTTCAGTAGAAACTGTATAACTGCTTTTAAATTTAACAAATGAAGTTCCAAATGATCATTAGGTAATATAGCGCTGTCCTCTTTTGCACAAACTAAATGCATATAAAATTGATATTAATATTCTATCCTTCTAAAATATCTTTGTTTTATTTGAAATACACTTTTTTTTTACTTTTGGAGAATATATATTCCTATATAGTTGAAACTCGGTTATTCTTTTGTATTGTTCAATAAATCCAAAGAAACTGGTAAATAACGTACAGTTAAGGAACTGCAGTACGATATTTTTACTCCTTAGCACTCAGCATAAAACTTGAAAGGTATTAAAACTGTTACCATTTGCAATGTGAATCATAACATTACTAAATAAAAAAAAGAAAAAAAAATCGGATATTTTAAAACGCAAAATATTTACTCATTCATATGGTAACTAAATTAACACAAACGAAAAACATTTCACATTTTAGGAACTTAAATTTTTTTGAAACACCAAACGACTAAGAATCTTAGATTATGAGATTTTAAACTAACATTCCGCTGCTGTTACTTTTAAGCGACGTTTCCCAGTTATCTGAAATTACCCTTTAATTTGGGGCATGACAATACTGATAAACAAAACTGGAAAAAAGCTCCTAGAGGAGGATCAGGTATTTAAAAAGAAAATCTGAGGTACTTTGACCTCCACGATTTGTAGAATCTTCCCATGAGAAACTAGAAATCATTAAAATGTTTTTCTTTTTTTATTGAACCCACCAGCGGTCGAGAGGTAAAGCAGCTGAACACTGGTAGTTCAGTCCGAGGTTCGAATCCCGTGAACGGGCTGGCTGCATGGGCTTTTTCGTGGTTCCCCCCATGTGTAACGTACATAGGAGCCAGTTTCCCTTAGAAAGTCCTCCATGAAGGCATCCCTCCCCTTAGGCAGATAGCCCGCAGGCTTTGCCACAATCACACACACACACCTTTTTTTATTGAACAAATACATAATACTCAGAGCTGCCTTCGATAAAAGTAAATCTTCGCAGTTAAAAAAAAAAAAAATACAAAGGAAAACATTATCCTTGAAAACTATAATGAATTCTTATTATCATCAAGATTATTTTCAGTGAAGATTATAGTACTCATTTATGAGAAGCAAATAAAAGCTATGTAGCCAGAGTACATGATACTGACAGTCCGAATATGCTTTGAATAAGTATGCTAAGGTAAATCCGTTTGTAAACGAAGTAATCGTTACAAAAATTACGGTTCTCTTAAGCAAATAGCGATAAAATAATTGCATAGAAATTCAGGATCCAAAACGAATGAATATTTTAATACTCTTATTACCATTGAAAATATCAGACTTTTACCAATAAATACATATTATTTTTAAATGTCTCACTTGGATGGATAAAAAAATATATTGCTACACTGTGGAAAATAAATGAAATAAATTATGCAATGCAGGTTCGAAAGAATTCTGTATTTCACCCGGGCTAGTTTTTCTTAGCAAAATGAAAGACCTTAAAAAAGTAAGTAATTTTAGAAACAAATGTAATACTTAAAATTATTAGTAATATTAATGAAATGCTAAACTCTGTTTTATGTAATTGAATAATTTCATCATTTAAAAAAATGTTGAAAAGTGTCTTTAAAATTGTGGAGGATGTAAAATGAAAAAGAATTAATGATGTAAAATGAAAAAGAAAAATCAAATCAATGGCTCAAATTGAACACATTTGAAACAACTGTCTTTTTAATACATGAATTCTTTCTATGAAATTGTTTATCTGTGAAAAGATCTGCACGCCTTTTTACAACGCGTCTCTAGGTCCTTCTAAATAAAACGATCAACGGACCCACCCCAATCGATAATGCAACAAAACAAAAATTAATGGGTATGAAATATTTGGAATTAATAAATTTTGGAATTAATAAATTTTCATGGAAATCATTCAAAAATTGGAATTAATAAATTTTCATGTTATTTATATAAAAAAGAACACATATTAAAGCTGATGATATTATAGGATCATTAACGTAAATACACAAAAAGGAAACTTTCAGAAATAGCTAAAGGAAACCAAATACAAAAGTAAACACTCTAATACGAAAACAAGAAACCCGGCTAATGATTTCGTTATCATGAAGAAGGCAGAATTAATAATAGGTTATCGTCTACAAAAATAGCAGAACGACATTTCAGACGTTTTAAATCACTACTATTAGTCACTTTCTATCACTACTAACAAAAATCAAAATAAAATTAACATGAAGTATTAATATTAAAATTCAGATAATTCAAAGGTTAATATTTATTTCCACGTTCGCGAAATTTTGAATTTTGTTCTTAATTCGATTTTATACTATTTCTTCTATATGTATGCTGATTAAAAATTAAGTTGCAAATTAATTTGATAAATATGTAGTCTTGTTCACAAACATATTTATAATACCTAACTTAAAAATTTTAGTAGTTATTTTAATGAAACCATCATTGATTTTTTCATTTATCAATGAAACCATTTCATAATTTTGAGAAACTTTATACGAATTTTGTTTTCAAACTTAAATGCAAATGCATGATGTCTTTTTCTTACCAGTATCTATGCAGCTCTAACTAAAAATTCACAAACGTAGTTAACAGTACAAAATCGCTAACATTTATTATATATATATGTGTGTATGCGTGTGTATTTTTCTATCCGATGCAGACATTTAAATTACATTTCTTAATTTACCAATTTTATGCTTAATGTTTAACAATTTTAAAAACAATTGTTTTGCAAAATAATTATTTTTTCCAGGTATAGCGAGTCCGAAGCTGGCTACAATAATCGGCATTACAATTATACATAACAGAAGAATTCAAAGTACATTTCTGTTAAACTGTCGACTAATTTTGGGCAAATAAACATTAAATATCTCACTATTAACCTGCGCATGAACACGTTTGAACAACCTAAATAATGAAGAAAAACTAATTAAAAGATTCAAGCTTCCAAAATTTTTGTCTTGAATTAATCTTGAAGCTACAAAGCATAAGATAAATAATTTTTAATATATATTTAAAATTTTAATATATTATAATCATTTTTAATATATTAAAGCAGTTTGGAGTTTTACTCCATTATTAGCAACAGCTATAATAATTTCCATTCCTCGCATCTCGAACACTGGTATATTATAATCAAAGTGAGATTTTTACTCACCAGCTAAAATCCTTATCCCTGTGTAAAGCGATGGAAAATCCAAACATTGATCCATTAGTACCTTGGTGTACAACAGCAGTTCTTGTATCGACATTGAAAGCCGATGTCCTTAAATTTACCATGACTAATATTAAAGCAAAACGCCACATCGTCCTATAAATATATGCAGATATTCTGATCACTTTCCTGTTTAGTCCATGTAGTAGACAATGTTGTATTTGATTACTTTGCATATTCCTCTGAAATTATCTTCTTATACGAAGATTCAAAATAAAATGTAGCAAACTTATCATGATTTGATAAAAATCAGTTTCATATTAACTTCATATAGCATTGCTAGGGGAAGAGAACTTATTAACAGCCTGAAAACTTTATAAAATTTTGAAACACACAATTTGTAATTCTGTCAGCTGATTCAAATATCTCGTCTTTAAAATACTCTATCAATCAGCAGTCAGTCGTTATAATCAGTAGTCAGTAGTCGTCTTTATTGTATTGCTGTATTAATCTGTATAACTAGGTGTCACATTGGGAAAAGATGACTTAATCCGTTTTAAATAAATAAATGGCTATAATTATTATTCTTAGACATATCCAAATAATAAAGGAGAGAACTAGAGAATTAAATATTCTGTATTAAATTCTGAACTTTCAAAATAATTGCGAATTTCATTAATTGAGTATGATTCATTACGTAATGCGAATTGGTGGACGACGAAGATGTAAAGTGGACATTTATAGTTATCTCGTTATAACATTTCTGTAAGAGCTGACGTGCGATAACACAACCACGTGATTCAAGTTCGGCTAAGTCTTGGAAAGATTTTGAGGATTCGCGCTGAGATGCTGATCGTGAGAGGGTTGCTACATCTAACAAGTAGCTTGTCGCCAAAACTTCGCCAAAAGTTCACAGAGATTTCTCGTTAATTACGGATGACATTAGGATAGATTGAGTAAATTTTCTTAGGATCAGCTGAGTAGCAAGACAAATGATTAACTGTTGGTTACTATCCCTAAGAGTATAAACAGTTTTAACATACATGCGCAAAAGTCTGATATAATTTACCTGAAATTATTAAAATATTAAAAAAGAAAAGAAATTTTTTTAAAAAAAATCTGAATCATTAATCAACTAATTCCTTTATATAGCATGTATTGCTTCAAAACACATCTATCAGCATTGCAACTAAAGTACCAAAAACGAAGACTCATTATCCAACTTTTTTCTTTCCCCGAAATATTTACTCATCCTTTTCTTTATCTTTCTCTTCTTCATTTTGACTTTTTCCCCTCCTCTCCATTTTGCTAACTTTATAAGCAAAATTCTTAAAGCTTCTTGTTTAGACGGTCTCAGTGCATATTGAAAAAACAAAGATTTCTGTCATTTATTTAAATTTTTAATGCTTGTTTGCCTTACCTAAAATTAACAATCATTTTTATTTTTTTTAATTTAAAAAACATGCGAAAGCATTTAACCAAAATGAAAAATTTTTCTAAAATTTAATTATTACCTTTAGCTAAACTTTTGATCAAAAACAAAATTATGATATTTATACTGAGCACAAGCATTTTAGAACTAGCTTTAAATTAAAATTTTCAATTAAAAATGTTTTAGAATGTAGTTCTAAATAATAGCATTCTAGAACATTTATTAATTATGTAATTAATAACTCATATTCAATCAAATATGACTAAGTCGAAAAGCGTAAAGATGAAACTGTAATATAAATAGAATGTATTTAAGTATTATGGTGTTCCCAAAATTCTTGAAATTAATTTTGAGTAGTTTTATTTACTTGATTATGGCAAAAAACACAAAGGTTATCTATCTGAGAGAAGACATCTCTTCGTGGAGAATCTCTCGTCACATGGGAAAAATCGCATAAGCGCCCATGTAATCACTCGTTCGCAAACGAAACTAGAAATAAATAAAGCTTTTGAGCCTAGACTATTATAGGCATTACAAAATGAGTTAAGACATATTTATCTTCGTACTGATCAATATTTAATTAATGACTAAATAAATACAGGAATTTCTACAGTTTGCTAAGCCTGCAACTATTCATGATTCTAAAAAATCATAAAGAGCTGTAATTTTTATTTTTGAATGAAAAGGGAAATGTAGTCATATATAATTTGACAGAAATAAGCCTAGAAAGCGTCGCAAACAATTTACTATAGACACATCTCAGAAATTTCGGAGGAGGTGGAAACATAAAATCTGATTTCGCTTTGGAGTAAATGTGCATGCTATTAAATAGATATTGCGCTGAAATTATGCAGTGTTATAAACTGAGAAGTAGAAATGTGAAGAATTTAGTACACCTTTTATTTATATTAAAACATTTTATTTGACATTTATTATATTATTAAAGCACATTATTTATAGAAAAATATATCCTAAAACTTTGGTTGTAGGAGTGCCTGCTTTCCCCAGTTTCTTATTTCCATTCTGGAAGTAGAGGTAATTAAATGATTATTTATTTCATGCTGAAAGTTATTCAATTCAACTGCGCAACTATCATAAATGTCGTTGAAAAATTTATTAATGTAGTGAAGATATTTACAAGGCACTTTTCCGTTGACAGCAGCTCAGAAATAATAATGTATATTTATTTAAAATAAAATTAGCTTTTATCATTCTATAATATTATTTGTCGTATTTTTTCCCTTTCTGTAATATTATTCGTAGTTTACTAAATTCAAATAATTTTCCAGAACTTAATATAGCAGCATTTAAATTAAAACTGCCTTTCCTGAATGCGCTCAGATGTGTTCTTTTATACACTGGCTTCAAAAGTCAAGCGTAGTAATGCAAAAAATAATGCAAATCGGCAATTTTTGAAAGCTCAGTTGCATTTGAGAGGCTTAAAATCGCTGCAGATGCAGATGGCAGTGTGTAAATATTGTATATTATAGACAATCATGGTTCACCGTCAGACCATTTGCTAATTAGGCAGTCACTGAAGATTAAAATCATTATCAAAGGTGGTTTATCAAATGAGTTTCACAAGGTTCTTTTAAATATTTAACTTTAAATAAAAAATTCATTAAATAAATTTCAAAAGTGAAAATTAAAAAAAGTCTTCATTTAAATAAAAAAAAAAGTGTTTATAACTTTCAAGGGATTATTTTTGGTGATATTCGTGTCTCTGTAGTTAAATTTCAAAACGTTGGGACCGAACCCGCAACATCTAACTTGGGAGTAAAACGCGCAAAAAATTACGCTAGGACGACGTAGTCTGACTGTAGTAAGACAAGTGAGCATTAGTCAACAACATTTCTTTTTTTTTTCCTCTTTTGCAACAATATTTTTTATTCTTTTTTCTTTTCTTCTCATTCTTACTAAATATTTTTTTCTCTCGAACGGCGGGCACTTTTTTTGTCTTTTTTCGACACTTGCCACTTCTAAAGCCGGAAGCGATAGCCATTTTATCGTGGAGACAACTAATAGGTGGCCACCGTTACTCATATGAAGGGACGGAAAATTACAACCCAACCTTCTCCGTACCTGGATCTTCAAAGCACTGATCTTATATTTGTCATTTTCGTAATCTTCTTATTGTTATATCAGAGACTTTGTAATATTGTAGACTTATGGACATGATCCGTGTACCTGGATCTTCAAAGCTCTGATTATTTATTGCTAATGTAAAATGTTTTTCACCATTTGCCACTTCGCTCAAATACCGCCGTTCCTATATGTACATAGTGTATAGTTTCAGTAACTCATGTGCCTCAGTGTTGTACAAGAACTTAAGTGTTTAATTTCTCAGACCAAGACTTCACTGAATTGTGATATCTACTATTTCAAGATGCATTGGCTGTGGACAGTTCACGGGAGGGTGACCCCCACGTGACTACCGCTGTCCAATCTCTGTTTTACAGCAAGAATGAATTTGAATATTTTGTTTAGCTAATGTTTGCACTTAGTTGTGCCCTTTGTCTTCATTTAGATCGCGATATTAGTTTAATTATTCCAATCTGGATAACCTGTTTCAAAACTTGATAATTATTGATATATCCAATATTTCTCATTGCACGCGTAAGCGGCTTTGCTCAGAGTCTGAACTGCAATGTCACGTGGTTGGTTGACCACCCACGTGACAGGCTCCTGCCAATCATCTCCCTCCACTCCACCTACATTTCACAAAATTTGACAAGTTTCGCCTAGTTGGCGCGGCGTAAATCGCCTTAATTAAAAACCTAAGTACCAACGCCTGAGGGCAATTTACCAACACGGTTGGCTACTAATTGCCGCCTAGCCATTGACTCGATTTCGATTTCGGGATTCGAACCCGGGCCGCTCGCTATCGTAGTCGGCTCCCCTAACCACTGTACCATCTGGGCTACCACTAAATTAAAATTATTAATTTTTTATTGTTTATACTTTTTGCAAAAGTGAAAACTTAATTTCGCTTTGAATTTTCACAAATTATATATTCCACATTTCTATTTAGCTCAAAGGGGCAATCTGCTCAGAAGGTCTATTAATTTCGTTTTGGCATTTTGTTGCCAACAAATATTAGAACCCTGCATTATAGTTAAAGAAATTAAATAATAAAAAATTTCATGAATGTATGCCTCTTTCTCGCAACATGGAAAAACACTGGAGACGTCAAACTTTGAAGTAGTTCTCCACTCGATTATGAGCATCTGAAAGCCCAAATTCGGAATTTGTTTCATTATCTATTTCATTTTGTAAAACTTAAACCAGTTTTTGATTACAAACTCAATGATTTCAAAGTGAGCAATGGAAACACTGTATGGAAAAAAACATTATGTCCAGAGCGCGAGACTGTCTACTAGAAATTCTAAATATAAGCTGTTTTTAAATATTTTTAGCCCAAAGGGGTATTAACTCAAATGCTCTCGAAACGTGCATATGTGTAAATGAAAAAAACGCCCCTTTAGGTATATTATAAAACCTGAAACTTTTAGATTTTTTTTTGCATTGTTTTCTAAGGATTTGGGAATAATTTTTACTAAATTATTACATTGGTTGAGGTAATATTTTCTTTTACGTGTTTGTTAGATTCAGGTTGAATGAAACTTATCTTAGTGGAATAGATGAAATTTCTCTGACAGTGATTTTGTGGAGTCATTAGATTATTTTGAAGCAAGAAACGTAAAAAATGTGTAATGTCCTTGTCGGAAAACTGGATTTTTGCTTCCAGTTACACCACGAAAGCATGGGAAAAGAAGGGAGAAAGTAACTTATAAGGCATTCATATGTAGGTAAAGGGGATTTTAACCTACTTCATTTGGACTCTAAATCTTTTGTCTAAGTTATCATGATCACTGACTTGCATTGACATAAACTTTAAGAAAAATTTTATATTGATTTCATAAGAAGCATGTGTAAGTAAATAACAATATCTTACAAGAAGCATTTACCTTGTTTTAATTTTAATTAATAGGAGAATTCAAATCATTGTTTAGTGTATTTATCTTTGACTCAAAAAATTAATTCTTTATCACATTCTAAACGAACAATTAACCAACCATACATAACCACTGCATTACAGTAAAATAGAGCAAGGTTATAATTTTATTACAAATCAAGCGAATATTTCAAAAATGTCATGTTCCCCCTCCATCTGCAAAATTTCAATTCAGTTTTTACTAATACACAAAAATTTTTATTGCAGTTTTTGTAAAATTCTGAAAGGCTGAATTGAATGTTTCATTGCGCCAGTTTGGTAAGTTCTGACTTCATTCTTCTAAACAGAAAAAGTTCATAACTTATTACGAAGACCAATTTATACATGTATTTCTTCTGTAAGTTTCTGATTAATTTT